ATCTTGGGGAGGAGGCAGGTGTGTAGCCTAAGCAGGGTATTGACCAGTTCCTGGTACAGTAAGTAATGCCCTGGTTGGAACCAAGCAGGGCACTTGGACACCTTGGGCTCAGACAGAACTTTTGGAGGGCTTTCTTTTTCTTTCATAAGAAAAAAGAGAGAGGGAAGCAGTGGAAGGAGGACACAGGAGGGTCACAAGCAATAATCAGTCCATCTCTGCATCTCTGAAGACCAGTGGGGGCAGAATGTCCAAACTTCAGGGGGAGCCTCCATGCTCTTCTGGATAAGAAGGTTTGATGGATGCTCAAGCGTTATAGACCTACAGCTGGGAAAGCTGCCCCCTTGATTTTGACATCAAACAACCATAGCTTCTCCCCACTGAGCTCCTCCCAACTCTGCTATGTGAATGGGGCAGCAAATGAATGGGGTGAAGGAACAGCAGGCTTATGGGGTGCAGTGGGAACTCCTAGGCTGCCCACACCTTGAACACAATTCAGAAGAGGAGCTTTTGGAATGGAAGGGAGTGGAAAGGCAGCATGTCTTGAAAGCAGCCTCAGCTTTCACGTGACTCATGAAAGCAGCTGTGTCTTTTTTTTTCCTGGATCAGGCAGAACCTGAGAAAAGACAAGGCTGTTTTAAAAAGGTGTCAGGCTCCCACTGCCTTGCATTCCAAAACTTCTCTTCCACATCATTTTTAAAGCACATGGCTTCCTGCTTCGTGACTTGATCACCCGTCCATTTAATTTTTTTAATACAACTTTATTAACATTTTAAAAAGAAAGACAAAAGCTAATAAGAACTAATATTTAGAATGAAGAAAAAATAAGGAAATAAGAAAAGGACAAAGCCAATAGTGCAGAAAAGAAAGAAAAGAAAAGAAAGAAATGGCTTCCAATTTTCTTTTACAACAGTTAGAAGTATAAATGTAAATTAGCCTCTTACTCCATGGTTACAGCCTTGCTTACATTTTTTCTATAATCTTTTTTTTTAATCATCGAAACCATACATCATAATTTTTTTTTTTCGTGTTTCATGCAAAAAATCAATCAGGGGTTTCCAATCAGCATTAAACTTAGAAATCACCTGTCCATTTAAAGGTGGGTGAGAACTCTCAAAATTGCAACTTTAGGGGGTGTCCAGAACCTGACCTTGCAGTTCAGCTGAGTTTTCCATTTATCTCTGCACACTTAGAAAGCTATAGTGACTTAGGATACTCTTCTGTTTACGGAAGATTTTGTTCGTTTATTTATAAAAGGACTATTTTTGTTGCGTTCCTGTTTCTTTTTCCCCTCCGAAAGTTGCACAAACTTTTGCTTCTGATAGCAACAATATCTGATAATGGTCACGACTCCTTAAGAATATTACTTTGGTATCAACAGATCTGAAATTGAAATTGATCCAGCAGAAAGAAAGTATTTGAAAGGGCGGACATTAGATTACGTTTGTTGAAATCTAAACGCTTTGAGGGTTTATTGACCCATAGGGTGCCTGACGATGTTCCCCGAGCCTTATCATTTTTTGTTACCATCAATTATCTTGGAAGATAATTAATATTTATTTAGGATAAATTATGAAATTGTTATCCTGTATTTTAAATTAATATTTATCTTTTCGGTAAACCGCCCAGAGTCATTTTTAACGAGATGGGCAGTGACAGTTGATATATAAATCAATAAAAATAAATATGATTGGGTCTTATGAATTACCCTCCTTTTCTTCGGAATCAGTTTAATGTCTATAAATAGACTTGTGGGAGAATCTCCCAATGTTAAAGATGTTAATAGGTTGAATTATTTTCTAAAACTCTGGAACTGAACTGTCTCTGAGAAATGATGGTTATACTGGGCATGGGGGGTTGCCCAAAGAATAATTTCGAGAAATTGGAAAGGTGAGATCATCCCAGATATTAAGGACTGGATTTTGCTTCTGATAGCCCCAGGTTTTCTCATCTCATGGATCTTGCCCGGTAGCATTTAACCATGCTTCAGGACGCCAATCTATGTTGACATTTATTCAGCCTCACCGCTCAACTTAGCAAACATTTCTGCAATCAGCCCCTTGTTTTCCCTTTTTCCCACTGAGATAAATTAGGTAGAACCAGCTACGAGGATGAAAAGCCGGTGTTTGTTTGCACAAGTGGGAAAACAGAATCCTTGCTGGAAATTTGCAGCTGATCGCAAACTTCAGCAACGATCAGGTAACCTTATTCCAAATTAATTCAGTAAACGTCTTTAAGCTTTTATCTGCCCAGAGACTTATTTCTGGTGCTTTCCGTTTGTGACACTGGCACCAGCACTGACCCCTCTCAGCATTGTACGGCTTGGCGCTAACCTAGCACAAGCGGAAAGCGAGATTAGCCGACTCAACTGCGTCCACGTTTGACCAAGGAGGCGCGTGAAGAAAGCCCGAAGGAGCTCGGTGTGCTTAGCTTTGAGAAAAGAGGATGAAAAGGCAATGTAATAGGTAAGGTTAGAATGTAAAGGCCCTGAAGCACATTTTGCAAGATGCGTTTAAGGACATGGTACAGAAGGCCAGTGACATTATTCACCTGATGTTGCAGGTGGGCGGGCTGAGAAGAAGGAAATCCCCAATGCTGGCCATAGAGGAAAAAGCTTCTGTGAATACACTGGATCAGCTGGGGCTTTTTATTTCCTTTGGCATCATCTTTCCTATATCCTCCTGTTTCTCAATCTCAGCAAC